GGAGCAACCGGAGGGAACGCATTTGAACATGGGGAGAACATGCAAACTCCATACAGAAATGCCAACTGACACAGCCGGGACTCGAACCAGTGACCTTCTTGCTGTAAGGTGACAGTGCTTACCACTGAGCCACTGTGTCACCCTTTGTAATATATAATATTAATAATAAATGATATTACTTAATAACATTATTATAATAATATTTATAATGCTACAATAAAAACTGCTATTTTCTGTAATGTATTAATTTAATTTACAAATTCCATCAGGACAGGCTTAAGCCAGCACTGTTTGTTTTACAACAGTCAGTTTTTTTTTTACTGAAATGTAAACTGACTTATATTATAATAATCAGAATATTTTTTACAGTGTTTATGGATCAAGTTTTATGGATTACAATTTCTGCTAATATTCAACTTTAATATTCTAATGAAGAAAATAATTAGAAAAAAATCACCTACATGGGGTATTGCTTAGGGGTGAGTAAATCAATAGATAAAAATATAATATTAAAAGAGCCTGTTCTTTTAACATTATATAATGAAAAAGTACCAGTATCTAATAAATAAAAACCTATACTAAAAAAATTATTGAAATATGATTCTTTGGATTAACTTTTTTTTTCGCCTTAAGTGGTTGTAAACAATTTATTTGGGCTGAATTTAAACAAACAAATTAAGTTGAACATTACTACATTTCATTAGTTTGTTTAAATTCAACACATATAAGTTGTTTGCAACAAATTTGCAGACATTTTTTCAGTGTAGCTTCTAACAAATAAGCAGTTTCTAACAAGTTAAACGTTTAAATCTTTTAAAAAGCACTTTTACGTTCTAAGTTTTAAGTTCTATCAGCTAAAAAATAAGTACTTGTGTACTTAAATAAATAGATAATAATATGTTCATGTTAAAAATGCTTGTCTTCACCCATGTGGTGAAGTACTGATTGCACTGTTGGATTACTTAAATTTCACATCAGAAGAGACCATTTATAGAGGTAATTTTAGTGAACTAAAATGTAGATTTTACAGATGATCTCACAGAGACTGCATCATCCGAGGACTAATAGCCGTAAACAATTATATAGGCTTATATACACACACACTCACGCAGTGCTTTGTAACTATAGCTACTAAACACGATCTTGAGTGCATAATGAGGAAAAAAGCTGACACTCATCGCGGCGTGCAGTTCTAGTCATTAGAGCAGAAATGATCATCACACATTACTGAAGACGTTCTCAAGGGCCAATTGTTCAGGTCTTAGCAAACAAACTTTTTACCTCCCTCCCATATGAATTAGATCAAATCCCCTCCCTCACGGCCACAACATCCAGTCGTTAATGTAAATCTCAAACAGACAAAGAAGAGGAATAAATTACACATGCATCCGGAACTAAGTTAAGAAAACACTTCTCATTAATTTGCAACCTCGCCTGGTGGAAGGGAGAAAACAGGATTGTTTAATTGAAATAATGAATTGTCTCGTTGTGTTTGGTTTGATCAGACTGTGGCTGGGCTGTTTTTTTTTCTCCCTTTTTATCAGACTATGCCCTCCCTAATCCAGCTCAGGCACTAATGTTGAACAATGCTCCAATAAGATATAGAAAGTCTCATTTTGCCCGCTGTCATGTTGATTTATCCTCACGTCTGTAGTCATGATGCATCGCCTTCCCTGCCTCCACAAAAGCGTCTGCATATGGTTGCATCTGTCAGTGAGCCTTTGAGTTTTTTGGGTGCAAAATATCAGCCCACAGGTTCTGCTATTCCCGACTGAAGCTGAAAAAGCATCAGGCTATCACCGACAAGCACACCGATGGATGAAAAGCAGTGTCAAAATCATGCGATGATGCTTTTCAACAGTGAGTGGTTAATTTGCTTTTGGGTCCAAAAATGTGGTTGTGATTTCACCTCTTATTTGACGTTGTCATTAGTTCAAAACACTAGCACATGCATAAATCTGTTAGATGTTGAAATAATGTACTTTCTCATTTAGTTTGAAATTAGTTCATAGCCCTTTTCTCATGCAATTTAATCAGCGCATTAACAGATGGTGTTGCAGCCTGTAATATATTTTATGTATCTGTCTGTATGTCATTTCGTCTTGTATTTTATGTAAATGCATTCATTATGACTCTCAAGGCAATGGCAAGTAATATCTCCAGGATTAGAAGCGTATCGTGTTACTGACCTCAAATTTCACAGTCTTTTTGATATTTTTTCTTTTATGTATGACTTATAAAACACTAATTAAGAGCAATTGTGCAAAATGTGATGTCTGTGATTTTGCGCATAGTGTTTCTTTTTGCAAAGTGACATCACAAACTACTTGACCTGACATGCATAATACTGCATTTTTAGAGGTTTTCATGTATCTGTGTGAAAAGGGATTGGATCATTGTGATAGTGTTGTCATTTGTATGTGAAGCTTTTGAAAAACCAAGGGAAAAAGTATATTGCTGTCATGTCCATGTTTCTTAAAATTACACCAAAAATGCGTTACTTAAAACAAATTTTAGTGATATAATATTCACTACCTGACAAAAGTCTTGTCGCCTATGCCAGTTGTATAAGCAACAAATAATAACTTGACTTCTAGTTGATCATTTGGAAAAGTGGCAGAAGGTAGATTTTTCCAGTAAATCATCTGTTGAACTGCATCCCAATCATCACAAATACTGCAGAAGACCTATTGAAACCGGTATGGTTTAGGGTTACATCCAGTATGGGGGTGTGTGAGAGATCTGCAGAGTGGATGGTAACATCAACAGCCTGAGGTATCAAGACATTTGTGCTGATTACATTACAAACCACAGGAGAGGTCAAGTTCTTCAGCAGGATAGCGCTCCTCCTCATAAGTCAGCCTCCACATCAAAATTCCTAAATGCAAAGGTCAAGGTGCTCCAGGATTGGCCAGCCCAGTCACTAGACATGAACATTATTGAGCATATCTGGGGTAGAATGGAGGAGGCATTGAAGATGAATCTAAATAATCTTGATGAACTCCTGCAGATCCTGCAAGAATGCTTTCTTTGCCATTCCAGATGACTTTAATAATAAGTTACTTGAGTCATTGTAGAGATGTATAGATGCTGTCTTTTAGGCTCATCAGAGCCATACACAATATTAATTATTTTTCCACTGTACCATGTCAAGTTATTTAGTGTTGTTTCCAAAACTTGGATACATGACAAGACTTTTGTCAGGTAGTGTGTATATACACAGTACATGTGATATATAGTGTATACATACACACACTCTACGTCAATTACTTTTTGTGCATTGAAGAGTAGGCCTACAATGGCTAAAATAAAAAAAAATAAAAAAAAATAAAAAAAACGAAACATAATTAATGAAGATTTGTAGTCGGGGACAGATTAAACCATTAAGGAAGGCAAGTGGGCGCTTTTGGCCCCAAGAAATCTGAGGGTCCCCAAATAAATACATAGAAGCCTATACCTATAAATTACATATAACATCCTTTTCTGTCATATTTGGTATGATGAGGATCTAAAAAAACAAGCTTAGTGTTTATTACATCACAAATGTGCAAATGTGTCCCCCACCCTCAATCATAGAGCACTCCAGCAGTCAAATTAGGTAAAGATTTAGTTTTAAATATAAAAAACGGAATAGTTTATATGAAAACAAATCATTTAGAAGATGCTTTACATGCTGTTGTTATTATTTTGCATTAAGACAAAATGTAAAGAGGGAGATTGAGTGATATAAGAATAAAAACAGCAAAATAAATCAATTAAAAATAAATTGAAGTTAAAAATGTGGATTTTAGACCATTTGGCCACATGGTCATAATTGCTTAGGGCCCAAAACCACTAACTCGACCCCTGTTTGTAGTATGAAGTAGTATTTAGAGTTTTAAGTAGTATTAAGTGTTTAATTAAGTGTTTAATTGCTAAAAACTGTCAATTGATCATTTGGAAAAGTGGCAGGAGGTAGATTTTTTCAGTGAATCATCTGTTAAGCTGCATCCCAGTACTACAAATACTGCAAGAGACCTATTGAAATTAGGTAAAGATTAGTAAGACAAAATGTAGAAAAGATGATAAATAAGAATGATATAAACTTTTTCGTTTTTAATCTTTAAGACTAAATCTTTACCTAATTTAATTGCCAAAAACACGATTTCTGAAAAATCCTGAAATATATGTAAAGCTAAACACACACACACACACACACACACACACACACACACACACACACACACACACACACATACACACACACACACGCACACGCACACACGAATCACACGCACACACAGACACATGAAATCTAATTTTACTGAAACTCAGCTAAAACTTGCAATAAATCTTTCAATATACAATTAAAACCTAATCCAAACAGTTATCCAAAGAGAACACTGGCCAGATCAGCAGAATGCAGTTAGTAAAAGTGAATAATTACATTTAAACAGCAGATGGGATGTGATTGTATCTAATGAAGTGCAGGTGTTTGAGGGCAGTCTGTGAAACCTGATGGTTATTAGATGGTTCTCATATTGCATGGAATTGGAGATGTTTCTGTCAAGTAGCCTCTGTTTCTGAAGCTGCAGTTTCACTCATGCCGTGGTCACATTAGAGTTTAAGCTTGCGAAAAGGAGGGGGTTGAACAAGATGATTAGACATTTTAAAAAAAAGAGACCGATTGGTCGATATTTAAAATTTCTGTCCAGAGAGGTCATGTTTTGATTCTCGATTGGTCTCACGCAGTCAAGTGATGCGATTTTTGCTGGTCAGAGTTCACCGAGCTTGAACTTTGCCACGCAGCAAACTCTGAAACTTGTCACACGAGCTTGTGTTTACGGTCTGACACATTCACGTGCGTATGAATGGAAGTCTATGGGGAGAAAAGTCCAGTGTTACCGCTGCTTTAAACATGAAGATCTGCAGGGATGTTTATTTGATCATTAAAATTCACCAAACACTTAGTAAACCATGTGGCAAAACACTCTTTATAGAATGTTTCCTGTGTTTTTTAGCATTGCAGGTGCTGCTTTATGCTAGCAGAGACTGTCTTATAGCGGGAGACACTTGTTCAAGTGATGAGACGTGCAGTCCTCGTCTTCGGACCCTCCGTCAGTGTGTTGCTGGAAACGGCAGCATGAAGCTCGGCCCTGGAGCTCGCAGTCAGTGTGCAAACGCTGTGTCTGCCCTGCTGTCTACTCCTCTCCACCGCTGCCAGTGCAGACGGGGCATGAAGAGAGAAAAAAACTGTCTCAGCATATACTGGAGTCTCCACCAGTCTGGCATGCATGGTGAGTGACAATCCTAAGATGCTCCTCCTTTAAATATTCTTATTACTATTTACTAGTAAATACAGTAGCTATATGTTTTTTACACATACACTGTGATTAGAGTATTAAAACTGTGCATCTAGTTGAAAACCATCAAATATCACTATATTGAAATGTAAAACAAAACTTTAATATTTTGTTTAATAATTCCTTAAATTTATATAACGCTTCTCTGGGCACTCAAAGTGCTTTACACATAGGGGGGAATCTCCTCATCCACTACCAGTGTGCAGCATCCACCTGGATGACGCAATGGCAGCCATTTTGCGCCAGACCGCACACCACACACCAACTGATAGGTAGAGAGGAGACAGAGTGATGAACCCAATTATGATATGGGGATTGTTTGGAAGCCATGATGGACAGAGGGCAGTGGGCAAATTTGGCCAGGATACCGGGGTAAAACCCCTACTCTTTTTTTTTTTTTTTTTTTTTTTTTTTTTGAAGGACATCCTGGGATTTTTAACGACCACAGAGAGTCAGAACCTCGGTTTTAAAGTCTCATCTGAAAAACGCCACTGATTGAACAGTATAGAGTCCCCGTCACTATACTGGGGCATTAGGACCCACACAGATCGCAGGTTAGGCGCCCCCTGCTGGCCTCACTAGCACCACTTCCGGCAGCAACCTAGCTTTCCTGTGTGGTCTCCCATCCAGGTACTGACTGGGCGCAGCCCTGCTTAGCTTCAGTGGGTGACCATGTGAGTTGCAAAGAGCCAGCTGCCGGCTACAATTTGAAAATATTCAACATGATTGCTTTTATTATGTGGACGACCACCTGATCAAATATACCCCCTGATCTAAACGTTACAGGATGTGTTGCTTAAGCACACTAACAACATTAGATCTAAACTTTGCCACTAAAAAACGTTCTGCCACCAGTCCTGACTGTAAAAAAAAAAAAAAAAAAAAAAAAAAACTGTTTTTTTTTTGCCATATTTTTTGAAAAACAGAGCAGAAACAAAAGATGCAGGTCTCCATATTGTTCTTTATATTCAAATGTAATTTGTGCAAGCTTATTTTTGCAATATGTCATTGAAAGACAAGAGACTAGCCAACACATGCATCCTCTTATAGACCATCATATCAAAAATAAGGAACATTGTTTAAAGTGAACAAAAGGAGACATAAGGAAACATTTTTTTTTTCTGTGTGTTTATTTATTCATTAATTTTCCTATAGCTTAGCCTCTATTTCAGAGGTTGCCACAGCGGAACAAACCACCAATTGTTTCGGCATATGTTTTACGCAGTGGATGTACCACCAAAAATATATATATATCTACCACCATCTATTTGGGTATATGTTTTATGCATTCACACACGCTAATACACTATGGCAAATTTAGTTCACCCAATTCATCTATAGCGCGTGTCTCTGGACTGTAGGGAAAACCACAGTAACCGGGGTGTACTAACCAGTAACCAGTAAACCCGTGCCAACACGGGGAAAACATGCAAACTTCACTAAAAGAAGCCAACTGGCCAAGCCAGAACTCGAACCAGCAGCAGTGCTAACCACTGAGCCACAGTGCCGCCCATTCTGTGTGTTTAATAAACATCTGATAAAAGTCCAACTATAGAAGAACAGACAGACCAGTCATAAAGTAGATAAATGAATGACTGTGTAAAGTCTGTCAATTGGATGACTAGTCTATTTTTAGACGACTGTTAGATGTCACTGACAGTGCAGATTTAGCTTTGTTTCTGCCCAAACATCTATATTTAGATGTCTATTAGGCAAGAGTGGCTAAGAATGTCAGATGTAAAGGGAATCACATTTAAAGTCAAGCCCAAAATTATTTATACCCCAGGGATATGAATAATTATGGACTTGACTGTATTTACATCCAATCAACCAAAGTTCATATTAATAATATCGTTTATATGAATACCAGGTGTAAACAGTGCCTGATAATCACGTCACAGTAGGAGCATTGTAAAAAAAAAAAACTAATTATGCACATTTCTTTTTAAAAACCCTAATTATATATTGTTGGAATGTATTGTTCTTTATGAATTATTAAATGTACACTTTCATTGCTGAAATTAGCTCTTTGTAATTGCAGGGCTTAACCTGGTAGAGAACTATCCGTATGAAACAGTGGAGAAAGGCTATGAGTTTGTCCGTCTGGCTTCCATCACTGCAGGTAAGGTAATAGCTTGATTCTGGCACTGAATGTTTTCTTTGTATTCTGTAATTCAAGAAAAACAAAGTTTAAATTACTGGCTGTTATAAAGCATAGCAGCTTAACACTAGCTACATGAAATTCTATTGTTATTAATAGGAATATGCACTATTTGTTTTATAAGTGACAATGATTGATAGTGGAAAAGATGATCAGCTAGGATTTTGTGTGACAATGCTTTGCTGAATTTCTGAAGTTGAACATTTAGCATTAGCTCTACAGAAATAATTCAGATAATATTACAGTATAAATAATTTTTCAGAAAGTGCAGTTTAGAAAATCTAGAAACTCTAAAATGCTAAATGGATGTAACAAAAAATACAAATAAAAGAAAATGCACTTTAAAAAAGCATTATTGTAAAAAGAAACAGCATTTGTAATAGCTTGACATACATGTGACATAACACAGATAGTGTTCCTGCAGTTTCTTTAAGACATTTCATTTCAATTTCTGTTTTATTCACAATCTCTCTGTATTGTGACTGAATAGATGTAGCTGAGACCTCTGTTAAATGATAAACTTATTTAACATAGAGGCGAAAGCTGAAAAAAAAAAAAAACACACACACACACACGGGGCTCTAGTACAATAATCTTCATTCCAAATGTCATGGTGTCCAGAACATCTTATTAACATCTCAAATATTGTATTAGCAGCATAATTGTGTCTCTAGTGTGGGAAAGTCGCAGTCACTGTGCATTAGTTTTGCTGTGAAACTCATATTCGCTGTCATTCCCTTCAGTTATGCCCTTGTTTTTGTTCAACTGTCCCATGGAAATTAGTCACAGAGTCTCGGTTTGTTTGTAGAAGCTTTGTGTCTGAGCTGGATTTTTCCATCAAAGCTGTAAGAATCAACAAAGCTCTTATGTGAATGATGTGGACAGACATTCTTGGCTATTCTGTGATTATTAATCGCAAAGGAATAGAAGGAGAGACTTCGTGAGCGTCCTTATTTTCATTTTTCTCAGGTTTTACTGACCTTAGCCTTAGTTATTTACTGCGCTTTTTGCATTAACATCACAGTGCAGGCCATTCAGTTTGATGAAGTTGATCAGAATGCGGAAATGATTTCTTGGAAAGACGTTTCCACGGCATTCCTTTTAATTTGTTCCATCTCATTTTCATTCTTGACGTCCTCTCACATCATCAGAAATTTCCTTTAGTCGTAATGGTTTGTGGCTCCGCGCAGCCTCTCCATTTGAGTTATCTGAACCTCAGCCCACATTACCCCATTTTCACATTTTCTTTCCACAGCAATATACAATGACGGCAGAACGTATTCTTCCCACATCTGAGAACCAAAGAACATCTATTAAATCAGCAATCTTAAAAATAAGTTTTCTACAATCTAATGGGATGCATTTGCAACACAAAAGCAAATTAAAAAACAAACAAATAAATAAATGAATAAATAAATAAATCTTATTTAAAAGTCTTTGATTTGCAATCTTAGATTTTAAGTAAAATTAAATACAATTTCTTGAATAATACAGTTTAGAGCTTACTCAAACTAAAATGAAAGAAACTAAATAAATATATTTTTTAAACCTGACATTAATATTACATACATTATCAACATTTAATTTTTATACATGCTTTATGTCCAAGTTGTATTGCTGTTTTGTTTTAAATTAAATATTTTATTATTAAAGCTTCAGGAAAAACACCAAGGGCTCCATTTTAACAATCTAGGTGGAAAGTCTAAAGCACATTAAGCATTAAGGACATGTCTGAATCCACTTTTTCTATATTAAGGACAGAAAGATGCATATTCTTAATGCATATTCTCTTAATGAATTATAGGTGTGTTTTGAGCATAGTGTGCATTAAACACATCAGAGTCTCATCTCCCATTCCCTTTAAGAGTCGGTTGCCATACACCATACGCATTTGCTATTTACATGACAGACTTTGTAAGTGGAAAAACTGAATGCTTTGCCAGAAAATGATTAAAAAGGCCATCTGCGCCTCCATCATTCAGCCTCTTTACTTTATTTTTACTTTTACTCTTTACTTTACTTTTTTACTTTTATGGGGTAAGGAAAAGGTTGAAACTCACGCCACTGAAGACATCTATTAGCTTACATATTTAATTTAGTTTGTTAAGTGCAAATATTTGTTTCAAAACTATTTCCAACAGATTAATAAATAAACAATAATGACAAAGTGTGATAAAAAAATAAAAAATTGAGTTATATCCAAACACACATCCTATTCTTATGCCTCATATGGTGATTCATATTCATCTCCAATACCTGACAGGTGGATAAATCATTATTATTATTATTTTTTTATTAAAACAAATATAAACAATTATAAAATAAATAATACTAATAGTACAAAACATTGTACAAATGCAAACTGTCATGAACAAACTGAAGAAAAAACAAGATGAGACATGGAGGTAGTGGTTTTATAGTTATGTAGAAAATAATAGTTTTTGTCACATTTTAATTAAGAAAAGTGTATTGCTGTACATCCTGTAAGTATTAAGCAATGTGTTAGTGTTTGGACCTGCATAGGCGCATAACTATTGCAATCTGCGCTGGACTTTAGACCAGATTTTAGTTGGTCAATGGCGCAGTCTTCTCAGTTTCTCTTTTCAGTTTCTCAAAACAGCGAATTTCTCAAAATGTCTTAACACATCTCTTTTTTAGACCAGCACACCCATTAGTCTACAAAGTGACGCAAATGGATTTGCTATTTAAACAACGTTGTGCAAAACGTGAAAATTTTATGTTGCGCTGGTCTAAAAATAGCAAAAAGTCGCGCCAAAGATGTCTTGCACCTTATTGCGCCAGGTATATGGTAGGGCCTTAAAAAAACTGTAGTATTGCAGCCTGGTTTGGTACAAATTTTTACAAGCAATCGGTACATTTTTAAACTCTTAGTAAACTGTTCTTAGTGTTGTGAAACAACAATTATGTGGAATTAAAATGTGTGCAACTACAATGAAATAATGACATCAATTTGAAAAATGACTAGTAGTGCTACAAGTGTTTAAAGTTTTGTACTAGGGGATTGGAATTTGTACATTTTTGCTTATGAAAATATTACCAAACCAATTTAAAAAAGTCTGTAATGCAAAGTTCTCTCATGAAACTCTATGTTTGCGCAGACAGCACAATGAGCTTACTCCTCAGCATTTTAAATTCTTCAGTGTTGTTTTATGCTACATTAGGAATATGCATCGTATTTTCTGGGACCCTCCTCCACTCCATATAGCATCAAAAAAAGAAACTGATCCATCCAAAATTGGCCTTGAAAAAAAGAACATAAGGGATTGTAAAGAACCATTGAAGTCAGATGTTTTGATGCATCCAACTCAAATCCTTTTAGTTGTTTGTAGTCTGACCAGCAAAATGCCTCACAAAAATTGGCTGTCAGCCCATATTCTTCAACTCCCATTTAAATACAAAGTTTCTCATCTTTTTTGATGCTTTCACCATTTTCTCCTCTCCGCTGTCAGTCGCAAAACACAACACACCTTGTGAATTGAAAAGGGCCGCTCATCTTCGCCCATTCTACACAGTTGTGCTGCATGGTTATGCTTATGCTGTCTGATCCGCCTCAAGAATCAAAATGTCAGTTTGATCAAGAGCTTGAGAAATGTGCTGTTTCTCATTTTGTATGTGTTTTGCCGATACTAAGCCAACATACAGTTGAACTTAGAAATATTAGACTTGTTAGTTAGTCAGAATTATTAGTAATGTTTAAAGTAAATGATCTAAAAGTGTTTATATGTATTTTTATATTCTGAGTAAGGTGTGAGACTAAAAATGTTCATTTAATTAAATATTGTCGGGCTGATTATTCACATAATTCTGATAAGTAAATTGTCTGTCAACAAATGTAGATTCGTACAACTGCGAACCTCTGTTCATGCAGATCTGCCATTTTGCACGTCCATGTGCACATGAGAGAGTGACAGTGGTAAAAACGAATGCTAAATCAAAACTTTTTAAAATCCCGAATCAATATTGGAGTTACTTTTGCACACTGGAGGAAGGATGACACCATGGTTGAAGTATGTCTGTTAGATAGGCCTCTAGTCATGCAAACCTGATGTAGATTTTGTTGTTTTACGAATGGGTTATATGCACAGAAGTGTTGTTTAGCCACTGAAATCTTCCGGCGCTACATTGATGTGACTATTTTCAGTTTCATAAGGTTCATAAGGTTTTCATAAAGTTTAACAACGAAACATAAGTCAATAGCGCTATTCCGCCTGGCTTGCTTTACTTAGGTGAATTTGGTTTTACATACGCATTGGTTCATTTTGGAACAGTGTGGAACAACCTTTGACGGGCTCCTTGTATTGTTTACCATGCTACTCTAAATATTTGGTCTGCAATAGCATGCTAGTAGTAAATGTAATTCCTGAACCCCGCCGGCAACCACTAAGCATACAGTAGTCGCTTTAGGACAAAGCAAGTGAGAGCATGAGACCAGCGATTCCTGCATGCATGAAATATTGCAAATCATGACAAGTTTTGATTGCTACACAAAAAAGTGCTTCATATACTATAGTTTTTCAAATGGAATTTTAGTATTATGAAGTGCTATAAAGTTTTCTAACTGGCAAATGACATGAACTAGTGGGTTGTCTACTGTCATCTTCAAGGTGCGCGCCTTCATGTTTCAGGAGATGTGGCTTTGGATGGCAGGGGAAGGACTTTGTTTCAAAGATGTTATGCTAACCGGTTAGCATTTTGGCAGATCACCTACTCTACCTTTAACTAGGTTAACTAGGTTAAATAGGCAAGTTAGGGTAATATTACTGTAAGTCAAGTCATTGTATAACAATGGTTTATTCTGTAGACAATTGGAAAAAAATATTGGTATTTTTATTTTATTATTAATAGTGAAAATAGTAAAAAGACTTAGTGAATTACAGTGAAAAATTCTTTGCTTTGTTAAAAATAATTTGGGAAATATTTGAGAAAAAAATCACAGGTGGGCTAATAGTTTTAACTACAGCTGTAATTTGCATAAATTGTCATATTTTATATGGGTTTGTTTAAATTTAAACTTTTGAGCTCTTGATAGCAAATCGTCTTGTCCATAAAATGATAAAACCATCAATTTAAACTAGTTTGTATCCATGATTCATAGAACCCCCAAAATTAACAAACTAATCTGATAAAACTGAAGGGTCACAGATAGTCTTCTGTTAGGTCTTTACTCAAACTCAACCTGCTGAGATCTTGACTGCAACATTGACATTGAATTTGACTTTAAATCTTTGACAGCATAAAAAGTCTGTTCAACAACAAGGGCTTTTGCACCAGAGGAAACTTTTCATAGAGGAAACATTCTCATATCCTGCTGAAAAGGACAGCATATGCTGGTTAGGTATGTTTTAAGGAATGGCTGATGGCTACATGCATACAAACACAAAACCAATATTTTTTTACAAAAGAAAAATAAACTAAAACTAACTAAACCACTAATGAAATGAACAGTTTCACCAGATGGCTTGAATTTGCTTTATTTGGAAATACGTAATTAATTTAATCTGATTGGAATGATTCTGTAGGAGAGTGAATCATGCATAAATCAAACAAACAATATATTACAATCACAGATAAATACAGTTGAGCAAAGGTAAATGTGAAACAAACAGTCGTTTATGGTTTCTGGGGAGTTCCGATTGTTCAAGTTCTGTACCCAAATAACAAGATGTAAAATAACACTGCATAGTCTTAACTGCATTAATAATTAAATACAGTGAATCTTTTTAAAAGTCACAACTGTATCTGTACATTTGTTTTGTGCTTAAATGCTTTAAACTATCTTGAAACGCTCACACAGTCACATGCATTAAAAACACATACACACAACTGATAAACTTTCACTCTATTATTGTTCCTCCCTGCAGTGATGCTACAATCCTGCATATTGCGGTCAACAATAGTCCAGACTCAACAATTCACATCCTGCAACGTGACTGTTGTGGATGCACACATTGTGATCTCGATGCAAAGAAATTGTGCACCCGCAATTTATATGTAGCCTTCCATACAAAACATTGGCACTATAATTTAGTGTTGCTAGTCATAAACATACATAAAGCTAATGTAAGTGGCTAATGCTGCCGTTTTCTGTGTTGTTTTCTTTTCTCAACCTCAGTGATGTGTAACAAAACAATTCTCTTTAGGTGATTTAATTTCTTCCCCCTCCTTTTGCTCTTTCAATTGCGTAATATATACATCTCCAGTAAAATCTATGATGCAAAATGAAATCACGTCTTTTTAATGTCTTCTCTCCTCCAGCTATCTATTTTATAAAATGTCTTAATCGAATTTGTCGTCACTTCACTTCTCATGTAACTTCAGAGATCCTAGTGATGGAGTGAATGCAACACCGAAAATAGGCTGAGGGGGAAATTAAGTTCTGTGGAGAATGCCCTGGTTGCTACAGTAGTTCCTATAACTATCTGGTGCAAAAACTCATAATATAGCCCGTTCTGGCCATGAGCTGCCAGTATATATACTTTTAATCACTTCAGTCAGTCCTAACGACTGCAACGTTTGAATTCTCCACAGATTCTGAAATCGGGATGAGCACAGTGAACCGTTGCCTGGATGCGGCCAAAGCTTGCAACATTGATGACGTTTGCCAGAGACTGCGCACCGAGTATGTGTCAACATGCATCAAGCCCTCCACCAAATCGGGTTTGTGTAACCGATCAAGGTGCAACAAGGCCTTGCGGCGATTCTTTGACAGAGTCCCTGCAGAGTACACCCACGAGCTGCTTTTCTGCCCTTGCAGCGACATGGCCTGTTCGGAGAGACGACGACAGACCATCGTGCCCAGCTGCTCCTATGAGGGAGAAGATAAACCCAGCTGCCTCTCGCAGATGAGGATCTGTAAGGCCGACTATGTTTGCAGGTCAGTTTCAGAGGCTTTGACAGCCACATACCATGTGGGCGGCAGGATTAAACAACTCACCTTGCATGCACTTCTTTTTTCAGAGTAAATAAAGCCTCAGCTTTTCTATAGCTGTCTAGAGAAAGAAACACTCGCATATTACTGGTGATAAGAAAAAAAGCTGTTCTTCGCCATCCTTGTAATCCATGTTTGAATAAATGGTCATTGGACAGAGTTATGAGACCCTGAAATGTTTTAGAAGTCAGATGTTTTCAGATAAATCACATGATTGTGAATTCAGTATTGAGCAGTGCAGGTTAGATGGTCCTTCATCAAGACTAATATCTAAGACTAATATTATTCTAGCATACGGCAGTGACACATGCATTCAGTCTGTCGCTATAAATAACAAAGATAAATCCATCTGTTGATGATTAATTGGTATTAACGATGGGAGCTAATCAGTTCTGGTATGAAAAAAATTTATTGGTTGTGAGGTAACATTTTTTCCTCACTCTTAACGAGTGATTAAATGACTCAGATGCCTTAGTGAATAACAGCAAGAAAAGCAGCACGCTGTGATTATGAGGACTGTTTATTAAAGACGTTGTCATGATTTTGGCATTTAAACCAACTGGTTGATCACAGGTTTTATTTTTGTGGAACAGCCATGGACAACAGAGAAAACCAATGTTAGAGGAATATTCCACTTTTTAAAGAAAATACACTCATTTTTTTGGTCACCTAGAGTTAAACTGTTGAGTTTTACCATTTTTTAAAAATCCATTTGGCCGATCTCTGATGGAAGTTAGCTCAGCATAAATAATTAAATTAGATTAGACCAGGGGTCTCAAACTCAAATTGGCATGAGGCCATATCAGTGACTGACTATTCATAGGAGGGCCGTTTTAATACTCAAGCTAAAGAAAAACGTGGAAACCTGATGTAATTGATGCTCTCAGACATTCTTCCCTAGAGTATCAAAGCTCCTTTTTGTTTCTTGTTGTATGTATTGAAGGAATAGTTTAAATTGCTATGAAAATACTACAATTGAATAATAGGCATAATAATAATAATAATAATAATAATAATAATAATAATAATAATAATAATAATAATAATAATAATAATAATACTAATAATAATAATTATTATTATTATTATTATTATTATTATTTTTTTTTACTCAAGTATTGCTTAACAGATAGCATGAGACTGACAAAATGAGGTAAGTTAACTTTTTTGACTTTACTGGCAATTGTTCTTCTTTACAGCAATCTTTATTGTAAAACTATAACAAAGAGGGGGAAAATATTGACATTACTTTAACATGTTCAATTCAGCCAGCAGTCAAATTTTACTAAGGCACATTTTTATACAAATCTTAATATGCATATAATGATCTATTAATAAGACCATTTGAATCGAATATTAGCAAAATGATCATATTTTAACCACCAGCATAATATGTAAGCCATGAAGAGGAGTACAAAATACAGGCGGTATAAAACTGATTATAATCAAATGACCCTTGAATGTTTACAAAAATAGAGATTTTGTAAAAATAGAGCACTTAAGGGCATATATTTCAATGTATTTTTTAATCAGCCCCAGAAATAATCTGCAAGTGTGTTATCCTTGACTGCACGCTGAGAGAAACCAAAGTTCCTTGAACATATAGTACAGTAGTTTAAATGTCCATTATGTGGGGGGTCAAAACCACAAGTGGCTATATGTGACTGCACAACAATGGAAGCGATTCAAAAACATATGTTTTGCCGAATCTTGTTATAATTTAAACGTCAGTTGCGGGCCAGAGGGAGGAGGAGGGTAGTCACAAATGGCCTGCAGGCAGCAGTTTGAGACCCCTCACTCTCAGAAAAAAAGGTACAATGAGGGTACAATTTTGCTCCTAGAGGGAACAAAATATATAATTGTGCCTTTAAAGGTCCCAAATTGGTCCTTAGGGCACAATTTTGTACTCAAATGGGCCAAAAAGGTACAAACGTCCAGATTTAGGTTTGAAAGGTACACTTTTGTACCTTTTATAGCACATTTGGGTACATAATTGTACTGTAAAGGACCATTTTGGCACCTTTAAAGGTACAATTATATATTTTGTTTCCCTATAGGAACAAAATTGTACCCTCAGCTTATAAGATCAAGACACCATATAACACTAATTTTTAATTAATTAATACTAAACATTAATACTAAAATACATAATTTAAAAATATAAAATTAATAAATTGATTGAATAAAATACTTTAATAATTATTTTTTTAATTTATTCAAATGTTATTTTTTCTCAAAAAATATTTAAAATTTAATGTAGAATTGAATGTAATTTTAATAATTAAAAACGTAAATACTGGTCTTTACTTACTGTTTAAGACCCTAAATGGGATTTAGAATAAGGATCATGCAGAGTGACAGTATCTTCATTCAGGTGGAGATGTTGCTGTCTCTTTAAGAATGCGGCTTGTTGGCAGTGTTTGTTACTGAGGCGGTCGAGTTTGCTCATGCTGGCTGTTTACACAGAACTTCGCACGATTTTCAAAGAAAAGTCTATTTTGGAGTCCACACTTTTCAGGTAAATATGTATTTATGACATATTTTCAGTTTCATTTTTACATGTGACGCCATGTTCTACTGCTTTTGTCTGACTCTCGTGCCTCGGCTTTCCCCCGCTTAAAGACCGCGAAAAAATTCTCCGACTGCTTGGTGTACGTTTGCCTGCAGGATGGAGTTGGCTAAGAGGTCTGCAGCTTATTAAAGAAGTTAATACAATATGATATTGAAGTCACCGCGGGACATAACGTTATTGAAGGTGAGTAAGTTAACTATATGCTATTAGTTTTCTCGGTGTAAAAACACACTTTATCGCCTACGTATTCGCGCCTCATATCTTACGTTACTGCTTTATTAATAAGTGTTGCCACTGCGGAATATAATCGCAACCCAGATAGCAAAACACTCGGGCCAGTTCCGGCTAGTTTCTCGCCTGCCGGAGACTTACCCCTCGGCCCGGCTCCATTTGCTGTACTCGGACAGGATGCCTATGGACTCACTGCTCTATTCGGACTGCTTCAATCGGGCAGCAGTAAGTGAGCCGAGGCTGCCGCATCCGAGCCGGAATCGGCCCGTGAGCAAAGCGAGCGATTATGTAACCATGGCTAATTACAAACGTGGTGTGTGTATTCCTGTACACATCTTCATTTTAGTGTCTACATTAACGTTGAGGAGTGTCCACAAACTCTCATGTCCAGAATTGTTGGTGCTTCACTTATGTTAATGCTTATGTTAATGTATAATTATTAACGTACCACGTTGTATGAATCGACGTTTTAAGTAATGCTTCGTTCTTTAATGTAATATTTAATGTAATACCTTACAGTATTTTAACTATTTTATAAATATCTAAAAATAAACAAATAGTTATTATTTTCTCTTATTGCTTTCCAGAAGTTTTTAAAGTTTCCATTTGACCTTCAGGACAGTTGGAACAACAGAATGCAGCCTAACAGCATCAGACCAGTGAAGGCATTTCATATGAAAGCATGGCTCAGTACAAGATGCAAGTATTTCTCATTATCTGTATACCATGGTTTTAATGGCTTACATACTATTTTAAATTTGTAGGTTTTTACTTACAAACAACAATAAATGTACACATATATATGTTTCAAATTATTTTCTAGGTATTCATCGAAAGATGAGAGATCAACTGAAGAATGCTAAGGACCTGACTCTAAGGTACTCTTTCTAAATTTTCTCTACTTGATTAATATTATTAAATTCTAGCTTTGTATGGATTCCTTCATATTTGTTTGTATGCCACATATTATGTTCCAGGAATTGATTTTACAGCAGCACTTATCATGTTGCCAGCCTTGTTCAGCGAGAAACTTCAACATTTTGCTGTACTCAGGTGCGTAAGTTGTTTTCTGTTTAGTATATGCTGTGATAAATGCATTTTATAATTCTTGATATTCTTTATATTAGGATTGCAAAGCGGGTAGTCACCTTACAGCAAAAAGATCGCTGGTTCGAGCCTCGGCTGGGTCAGTTAGCATTTCTGTGTGGAGTTTGCTTGTTCTTCCCGTGTTCGTGTGGGTTCCTTCCAAGTGCTCCGGTTTCCCCACAAGACCAAAGACATGTGCTATAGGTGAATTGGGTAAGCTAATTTTTCTGTAGTGTATAAATGTGTGTATGAATGAGTGTGTATGAATGTTTGTATTACTGGGTTGTGGCTGGAAGGGCATCTTTTGCGTAAAATGCTGGATAAGTGGGCAGTTCATTTCACTGTGGCGACCCCAGATTAATAAAGGGACTAAGCCAAAAAATTAATGAGTGAATGAACTTTATATTAATCATTTTATCTGTTATACTTTTTTTTAAATCAGTGAATATTAATTATTTCACATTCTATGCATGTTGACTTTCTCTTCATCAATGATATTAATGAAATAATTGCTTTGTTATTTACAGTGAATCATCTTCACCACATCCAACAGTTCAAGTACAGGAGGACACCACCGACTGGACCACAAGACGAGTCATGGCAGTCTTCAGAGTTGATGGCATTGTGATTGGCCGGGTTAATGGTGTGGACGAATATACATTTTTATCCATCTCATTTGAAGAACACCTTGATGTTTCTGCAGTGGAATGTTTTGAATGAACTGTGGACGATGACAAGCCTCGACCCACTCCAGTTACCAGAGTGATCAACCTTGTTTTTTGTTTCTCTTAATGCTCTTGGATAATAATCACAATCATCAAGTTAATCTAGCACACTGCTCTCATTCATGCATAAAGCAATTTTTTAAATAACTTGTGGTCCTAATGACTATCAAAGAACATTTTCCAGTTATGAGTGCCTTACATGTCATGTTTACCAAAAGCATAAACGTATTGTGTTACAACAAATTACAACTCTTCTTGAGGAAGTTGAGGAAGAATCTACTGATGTTGAAGAAGAGGCTACTAATGTTTTTGGTTTTCTGCACTGTTGATGCAATTTATAGAAGAAACATTGCCTTCATTCTGAAATACAGAGAAAATGTTGATGGCAAATTATTTATTATGACTGCGCATTCTGACTAAAGACAAATACTTTGGACTTTATAAAGTGCAGTACTTGATGTAGCCTGTGTAATGTGTTTATAAATCTTAAACAGTATTCTTGTGGTCTTTGTATTAAGTGTAGATGATTTACTGTACAGTGAGTGAACAATTTTTATTTGTTATCTAAATTGATCTTTTTACTGTTTTACATGTCTGGTTTATACTTGCTGTGTAATTTTATTACTTGACACATTCAGTTGTGAATTGTAATAAAATATGATTACATTTCTAAATAAAAATGGACATCTGCGAACCAAAATTATTTATTTATTTGTGCATGCAGTCACCAAAGGATCAAAATGCCTGGGTCAGTACCCTGAAAATGGTATATAATATAAGAAGGTACATTTTCGTACCTTCCTTGGGGGTACAAAATTGTCCCTTAAATGGTACAAATGTAGAAGGTACAATTTTGTACCTCTAAACAGAGGTACAAAATTGTACCCTTTAGGGTACCACCCCAGTGACGGGCCATTTGTACTCTAAAAGGTACAATTTTGTACCTTTTTTTCTGAGAGTGCTGGATAGACCATCTTGTCCCGGAAACCCCATGCCTCCCCAAAAAGTTTTTGGTCACAATTTATTTTGTTGGTCTGTTTGTTGAATTTAGGTTACATTGCTACTAATTCAAGTTAGATTATAAGTAGACTAAAGATGTGGTTAGAATTGGGGTTAGAGTTAAGGTTAGTGTAAGTTGACATGTACTTGCAAAGTTTCTTATAGTCCGTTAAATGTCTGTTGAAGGAGCAGTATCAACAGATATTAAGCAGACAGTCTACTAATACTCAAATGGACCACGAAAATAAAGTGTTACCAAGGTTTTGATGTTTTTCCAATTTAAAACTTGACATTTCTATAGTTACATTGTGTATTAAGGACTTTTAATACCTTATTAAGAGAAAATTAAGCTGCTTTCTTCTTGGTCAATATATTAACAGTAGGAAATGTCTACTGTCATTCATAGTGTATTGATCAAGGAATGTAACAAGAATGTAGGCGCAATGATATTACTCGGTGCAGCTACTTAGTTTTGACTGTAATATAATGATGTGCGCCTTTTGTGAAGCTGCTTTGGAATGATAATTATTGTAAAAAAAAAAGCATTGAATTGAATGGTTACCTATCTGAAGACTATTTTCGAGCTCTGCATAAGGGGACTTAATTATTAATCTAAACGGTTGGTTAAATCCCATTTATTGGTGAGAGGAACCGTTTTGGAACTGTGTTTTATTGCCATGTGATGTCCAGTGTAACATCAAATTTTATCTTGAGAAGCAGATTTGGACCTTGCCATGATTATGTCAGTATGGCCGCCACACTTATTAGAACACATTCTGTCTGCTTGGCTGCTTTCCACACATGTACTGCTTGTGCTTGTTCTACAGGTCCCGTTTGGCCCAGTTTCAGTACGACTGCCAGCCAGACGAGCAGTCTGCCACCGGCTGCACACAGGGAAACTATGCAGCTTGTCTTATTGCTTACACTGGAATGATAGGTAAATCATTTAAACCCACTTTATGCTATTGTTCTGCAAACTGGTAACCGGATTTTGGCTGTTTATTTCTCAGTTTTATTAAAACAGGAGCAAGGCTGATGTAATTCATTTGGAGAATGATGCGTTTGTTATTTTACTGCTCAGAGAAACATGGAGGGACCTGTGTGTCTGTGATGAAAGACTATAAAACTAGCCAGGCACTTTCAAAGTCACGGAGAGATTGATTTCACTTCCCAATAAAACTGAATGAAAGCAATATTTTTTATGAGTTTTTTTTTTACATGGGCTTTTTTGTTTGTTTAGTTCTGCTTCTTGCTCATTTGAGCAAACAGAATCCTTTTAAAATAAATTTCTTATTTAATCATAATATTTTGGACAGGAAATTTGATTTCATTATTTTCAGTAATACATATAAAAATATTAAACATACTGTTACTTATATTCCTAAAAAAACTGTTGCCAAATTAGAGAAATGCATATTTGTAAAGTGCATTTCCGACATATCACTAGTTTCTTGTTCTGAATAATGTCAGATTTTTCTACATTCTACAGATTTTCTACATTCTACAACAATGATTAGTAGATATAAGGGAATAAAGGACTTGCAAGGGAATAAAATTGTAACCAGGAAGTCGGGTGACAACGGAGTGAGGATCCAAGTACGGCTTTATTTAACAAAGAATGGTCAGACAGGCAATGACCAACAGGTACAAACAGTAGCACGATGGCAATCCAGAATAGTCAAGTCACAGGCAATAAGGTCGGTACAAGATCGACATAAATGAATAACATAAACAAGGAAACAAGGCTAGGGTCAAGAACCACGGAATGACTAGACAAAGACAACACTTCATAATATTACAGCAAAACAAGACACAGCAAAGTGTGTGGGAATGTCATTGTAGAGCAACACAAACAGCACAAAGAGTATAAACCAGCCTTAAATAGACCATGTTATCAGTCATTGATCAGCTGTGTGTGTGTGATAATCAGAGATCTGCAAACAGTTTTTTTTGGAGTTTGTGCATGATGGTATACAGTATGTAGTTCATAAAGTGATAGAATTGCAGTCCGGGTGATGGTGCATGTTTACCAGCGATCTGCAAGCCTGGATTGCTGGTGATCGTGACAAAAATCTAGATGAGATATTGTAATAATTCAGTAATTAACCTTATTTAAATCTACATATTAGTAGACTATGGACCATGATTCAAATCTATAAAAGATTCACCATCAAAGTTTCATACACACAAACACCCACACAGTGCAGCCCTAAAGTAATTAATTGTCAATTTAAATATTTATGCTCTATTGCTTATGCTTATAATCTATACCATTTTGTCAGAAATGCTTTAATCAATTAAAATATAACAAAACATATATGACATCTTTTAATTTTAATATTTCAAAAGGATAGTCCAAAATGAAAATTTACTCGCTATTTATTCATCCTTAAGTGTTTTTAAACGATTATACACTATTTTTCTTTATTCTCTTGAACGCTAAAGAAGATATTTTGAAGAAAGCTAAAATCCTGTAACTACTGACTTCCACAGTAGGAAAAACAAATATTATGGAAGTCAATAGTTACAGTTTTACAGATTTCTCAAAATATCTTCTTTTTTTTTCGTGTGTGTTCAACAGAAGAAATGATTTTGTATTTGGAGCAAGTAAAGAGTGAGAAAAAGATGAACTTTGAGTTTTGGCTGAAGTATCCATTCCAAGTCATTTTCTTTTCGGCTTAGTCCCTTTATTAATCTGGGGTTGCCACAGCGGGATGAACCACCAACTCATTCATCATATGTTTAATGCAACAGATGCCCTTCCAGCTGCAACCCATCACTGTGAAACATCCACATAAACTCATACACTACAGACAATTTACCTTACCCAATTCACCTACACCACATGATTTTAGACCTGTGGGGAAAACTGTAACACCTAGCAGAAACCCATGCGAACAAGGGGAGAACATGCAAACTCCACACAGAAATGCCAACTGACCCAGCTGATGCTCGAACCAGCAACCCTCTTGCTGTGAGGTGATTGTGCTACCCACTGCGTCCCCGTGCTGCCCTGCTGAAGTATCCCTTTAGGTATATCTATTAGCAGCTTGGATTGAAAAGTTATCTGCTGATTTAGAAGAGGAGTTACAATTGTGTTTAGATTAAACCTTAAAAGTAAAAATATACCAAAATTAAATGTGTCTGTGATGAGTGTGCCTATTGAACAGGTAGATGTAATTAGGCTTCTTGGGGTTCTTATTTTTAGTAGGTAAAAGTGGTCAAAACAGATCGATAAAATGTTAAGTTATTGGAAGAGTTTATCATTTATTAGTAGATGTGTAAGATCTGTACCACTGTACTGTATCTCTTAAATTGTGCAGGCAATGGTTCTTTCTTATCTAGATTAATGTTCAGTGGTATGATCGAGTGCGTCAAGTAAAGACTGGGATAAATTACAGTTAGTCCAGAATGGAGCTGCATGACTTATTTTGTACTGCTTTAAAACTTTAACAAAACTTTACCAAAACAAAACTTTAGGTTGGTTATTGCTGAAGGATAGGGTAATTATTTCTCTGTTGTGTTCCTATGAAATATTTCTTTTCCAAGCGTTCCAAGTGTATTGTACTGTCAACTTACATATAGTAATGTCATAATTTTACACCAGGCATGTGTCAAAAAGAAGTTTTTTTCTACCTGTTTCAAAAACAAATGCAATGAATGGAATGAAAACATGGAATGAATTGCCATCAGACATTACATGCTTTGTAACAAGTAAAATAAGGTTTAAAAAAAAATTGTTGAAGAAATATTTAATGGCACAATATTAAATAGATTGTTGATCTGGAAGTATGAATTTTGGGTTTTATGTTTTTGTAGTGGTCTTTGTTGTTATGGAATGTAATTTTGTTTTGTGTTTGATGGACCCTTGGTAGAATAGCCACTACCTTGGAAGTGGCTAATGGGGATCATGATAAATAGATAAATAAATGTAGTAAACCAAAACGTGACATTTTGTACACATATATCATGTAATTTCTATAGATTTACTTTATAATTATCTCATTTATGTATAAAATGCTAATAGAAATCACAAATATCATGTACACAAAGGTCTTTTGTTATTACAGGCAGTCCAATCACCCCAAACTATGTGGACAATTTCACATCCGAAGTGTCTCCCTGGTGCTCGTGTTCAGCCAGCGGGAATCTGAAGGATCAGTGCTCTGACTTCCTGGACTATTTCACAAACAACGTCTGTTTACGTAAGTCAGTGCTGCTCCTGTACATCATCTGTGTTGGCAATCATTTCTGAGTCACGGACATCTGAAATGTGAAAAGACATTGCATGTGCAGTCTGAAAGAACCATAGGGTTTTACTGTTAGTCAACAGTGCAAGGCCAGGACAGAATCAGAGTTCTTTTTCAATTCCATTGAGCGACAGCTTATCTATTATTTTTAAGCAGAATTCAGAATTTTAAACACAGCATGCATTAAAACAGCACATGAAGATCTGCAAATGAAGGCCACTGCAGGTTTCTAAATGGGTAATGCAGTCATAAATGTAATTACATTGAGCTGCCTGTACTCTTTTAGAATTCTTATAAAGTAGAAGTTTCCACTGAAGTTGTATGTCCTTCACAAGAGCACAGAATAGCATAAAGCATCCTCTTGCTATTCTGCTCCATTAGTCATACGTTCTTATATTGTATGTCAGCCTAGCGTTCACCACCACTGCACAGAAAACCTCCACAGAAAACAGTCAGCCTGGCTCTTTTAAATGACAGAACATTTCAAAAATTACCTCATCTGTCTCTTATCACTTGCGTCCTTATTCTCCATTTAAGCAGAACCAGGACACACTATTTGAAAAGCATTTGATAAGTGTGGCTTTTTATTTGTCTGCAAACTCAATGCTCTTGATTGCTCTTTTTATTTCATATTAAAGTTACAAACTTACTTTTTCCAAACACTACAAGATTAGTTTACCCAAAAATGAAAATGACCTCACCATTTACTGAACCTTATGTGATTTTACAGTTTTCTTTAATCGTTTTTGCCATAAATTTCACAACCCTGGTGTCTATTTTCAAATCCCTAGACAAAATATTCACAACCGTATTCACAACACTTCTTTCAAATACTTGGATACAATACACACGTCAAAGATACTTTGTTCATTAACCTAAAATCACCTTTTCAATATAATACAATTAAAAATCAAATCAATCCCATTTCCAAATGCAAGGCAAACATCACATATTAAATAACCATGTATTCATATAAATACCATGATGCAAATGTCAACTGATATAAGCACTCAAAATAATAAGTAACTGTTGCTTTACTCTGGATGCATGGAAACTGATGTACAATTTTACATGTTTAGATGATGAAAATTTCAGGATAGATCAAATGACAGTTACCACAAAAGATGAGCCAACTGGACTACACTATCTATAGATTTCATTGTTATTCATTTATTATGGTTTATATGTTCCATGTACCACTTCCACAGACAATGTTTTTATATTTGAAATTACTGTATGTAAGAAAGTCCAATCACAGAACCATAGCTGAACAATTTCAGGCCTGGATTTGCATTGACAGAAGGTTCTTTTGAAGATTCTTGACTAACGTAAACCCCACTGTGATGTAGAGGAGAACCTGTGGACAAATCCACTAAACCAGACTGATGGAAACACAGATGCCAAAATAGAAATCTGATATTTGGAAATACTTTAATGCAAATTACATATGTGACATTGTAGTTTATATGGATTTCACATGTTAGAAATGCAATACATGTCAAAATATTACAAAGATTACCATAATACTTTCAACCATTATAATTATATATTGCGTCCGAAAAATTATTCATAAAGCTTCACTTTTTCCACATTTTTTATGTTACAGCCTTATTTCAAAATGGATTAAATTCATTAATTTCCTCAAAATTCCTCACAAAACACCCCATAATGACAATGTGAAAAGATTTTTTTAAATTCTTGCAAATTTCTTAAAAATAAAAAAATGTGAAAAATCACGTTCACATAAGTTTTCACAGCCTTTGCCGTGAAGCTCTAAATTGCTTCCACTGATCATCCTTTCAGCGGCTTAATTAGAGTTCACCTGTGGTAAATTCAGTTGATTGGACAGGATTTAAATAGGCATACACCTGTCTATATAAGGCCCCAGTGTTGACAGTGCATGTCAAAGCACAAACCAAGCATGAAGACAAAGGAATTGTCTAGACCTCAGAGGCTGGGAATGGTTACAGAAAAATTTCTGCTGCTCTGAAAGTTCCAATGAGCACAGTGGCCTCCATCATCCATAAGTGGTAGATGTTTGGAACCACCAGGACTCTTCCTACAGCTGCCATCTACTGTAGCGGCCATCTAAGCTGAGTGACCAGGAGATGGGCCTTAGTCAGGGAGGTGATCAATAAACCGATGGTCACTCTTTCTGAGCTCCAGCGATCTTCTGTGGAGAGAGGAGAACCTTACAGAAGGACAACCATCTGGATAGATGGCCAGTCAGAAGCCACTCCTTGCCTGGAATTTGCCAAAAGGCATCTGAAGGACTCTCAGACCATAAGAAACTAAATTCTCTCGTCTGATGAGACTAAAATTGAACTCTTTGAAGTAAATGCCAGGCATTACGTTTGGAGAAAACCATGCACAGCTCATCACCAGGCTAATACCATAACTACAGTGAAGCATGGTGGTGGCAGCACCATGTTGTGTGGATGTTTTTCTGCAGCAGGACCTGGAAGACTGGTCAGGATAAAGGGAAAGATAAATAAAGCAATGTACAGAGTCATCCAGGATGAAAACCTCCTTCAGAGTGCTCTTGACCTCAGACTTTCAGCAGGACAATGACCCAAAGCACACCACCAAAATATCAATGGAGTGGCTTCACAACAACTTAGTGAATGTCCTTGAGAGATCCAGCCAGAGCCCAGCCCTAAATCATATTAAACATCTCTGGAGAGATCTAAAAATGGCTGCACACCATCACTTTCCATCCAACCTGATGGAGCTTGAGAGGTACTGCAAAGAGGAATGGGCAAAAATTCCCAAAGACAGGTTTGCCAAGCTTGTGGCATCATATTCATAAAAACTTGAGGCTGTAATTGCTGCCAAAGGTGTATCAACAAAGTATTGAGCAAATGCTGTGAATACTTGTGTACATGTGATTTTTCATATTTTTTTTAAATTTCATAAATTTGCAACAATTAAAAAAAAACAATTTTTCACATTGTCATTATGGGGGATTGTGTGTAGAATGTTTGAGGAAATACATTAATTTAATCTGTTTTGGAATAAGGCTGTAACATAAAAAATATGGAAAAAGTGAGGCGCTATAAACACTTTCCAGATGCACTGCATACTGTTTCCTTCTAAACGTATGTATAAACCATAAACAAACCTGTATCATATATTTTAAACAACAGTATTTAATGATTGTTAAGGATTTTTTTATTGAAACGATGTCCATCTTGTGTGCTGGTGGCTTCTATAAAGAAATTGACACAGCATCCAAAGTTTTGAACACCGGAAAATCTGTGTTTAAAGAAGTGACTGTTTAGTGTTTTGTGTAGTATCTAGAGTTTTGTAAATTCACATCAGGGCTCTGAAATGTGTGGCAAAACAATAAAAAAAAAAAACTGTAAATCTTTTAATCTTGGAGTTTTCTGAATAAAAATTAAGATGTTTTAAAAAATGTTGGTTGGTGGTACCCAATGGCATCCATTGTAAGAAAATTACTATGGAAGCCAATGAGGTCCACCAACCAGTATTCTTCATAATAACTTTCTTTGAAGAAATAAACGCAAATGAGTTTTGAAAAAGGATGAGTAAAAGATGAAAGATTTCATTTTTTTGGATGAACTATCCCTTATCTATATGAATGAATTCATTACCGCAATAATCATTCTAACAAGCTGATTTCTGGCTCAAGAAACACTTTAAAATCTGTCAAAATAAAATTATTATTATATTTCAAATTAAGCTTATTGCTTCAAAACAAACAAAAATTGCTGTTTTTTGACTGCATGTATAATTAGCTATTTTTATTTAACCATAAAACACAATGTTTTTGTTGCATGCTATAAATGTAATAATTAACTATTTATATAATTTAGTCTCAGCAAAAGGAAAATATATTTATCTATTATTTCCACCATTTGAAATATGACTTGATTTGGCTTTGATGTGCATCCACAGATAAGCTGTATTTAGATTATCTGCTAAAGTTTTGCATCTGACATTGAGTCAGCCACGTTTGTGTGATTAAAATGTGAAGATTTATCTAAAGTGCAAAGCTTCTTCCAACTTATTTCAGGCAGTGCAAGTATAAATGAATTTCTGATTAATATCCAGCCCCCTCTTCATCACACTTCTCCAGTGCCGTTCTCACGTTTCTGAAGGTCCTTATGTATTATATATAGCGATTCATCAATACGGTTGCAATATTCTGCTCAGTCCTGTTCAAACAGAGATCTCTTACATGAAGTAACTCCTCAGACAGCCAAGTGGCAGCTCTCGGAGTGAGCGATTCGAGCGGATGAGAGTGATGTTTGGTCAAGCCACTCATCTGTGAGTTAATGAGAGGATGTGGAGAGGCAGGTGCAGCCGCGTGGCCTGAGCGGAATATTGAGCGCTCGAAAAATGGCCCAGAATTCAAATAAGTGTCTGATAACAGAAGCAATTGCAAATGAAAATTATGTCTGTTTCACTCAGAGCTGTGCATGTATTGTGTGTTGGAATATTAGAGAACGCTCTCCTGACGTTTGGAAACGGATTGGACTTCACACCCACTCCCACCCAACTGCTGCGGTTAAACCCTGCCACAGACAGGGGGCCATGGAGGACGACGTCTGTGTTTGTCACGCTGGAGACTGAACAGAGCACTCTGAGCCCAGCTAAACCCACACAGGTGAGTGTCAGTTTGGTTATGCCTTTAGAACAGCCTTGATTGTAGTGTGGCTCCAAAGGAAACTGGCTTCACACAATAAACAACCATTTCATCTGTGCTGCTGAGAGACTGCAAAATTGGACTGATTTCTCTACAGCTCAAAGCCCTTATGAAATGGAAAATGGGGACTGGAGAACTAGGACTGCATGATCCATTGAAATAAAAAATAACTTAAATTGCAAGGGCAGTTTAGTGCACTCATCAAATTGCAGAGGCTGTGATTTTTTTTTTCACGTAAATATACAGTATTTCTTGCATGTTTCAGTGTGAATATGGCACAGTGTTCTTTTACACATGAGCAGCTTAGGGTCCACTGTTTTAGCACAATGTTTTCATCTAAAAGGTAACCATTTTATGTTTTTTCGCCTTATAGTGTGCACAGAAATGGTTTTAATTCACTTTTTAAAAAATGATCTGGAGGTGACCTTGGCTGAATAGGAACATACATTCAGGTCCATAAATATTAGGACATTGACACCATTTTTGTGCTCTATACACCAACACAATGGATCTAAAATAAATAAAGTCTGAAATAAAGATGTGCTTTAACTGCAGACTGTCAGCTTTATTTTGAGGGTATTTACATCCAATACAGATGTATGGTGTAGGAATTACAACAGTTTGCATATGTGCCTCCCACTTGTTAAGGGACCAAAAGTAATGGGACAGTTGGCATCTAAGCTTTTCCATGGCCAGGTGTGTGTAATTCCCTCATTAGCCCAATTACAATGAGCAGATATAAGGTTCAGAGTTAATTTCAAGTGTGCTATTTCCATTTGGAATCTGTTGCTGTCATCACTCAAGATGTGATCCTAAGAGTTGTCGCTGTCAGTCAAGCAAGCCATCATTAGGCTGAAAAACAAAACAAAACCATCAGAGAGATGGCAAAAAACATTAGGTGTAGCCAAAACAACTGTTTAGAAAATTCTTTAAAAAAACACCAGTGAGCTCAGCAACATCAAAATACCCGGAAGACCACCAAAACAACTGTGGTGACCAAAAGAATTCTTTCCTTGGTGAAGAAAAAACCCTTTACAACAGTTGACCAGATCAAAAACACTTTCCAGGAGGTAGGTGTATGTGTGCCAAAGTCAACAACCATGAGAAAATTTTTACCAGAGTGAATACAGAAGGCTCACCACAAGATCCTCAAAAACAGGCTCTAAGAAATGACTTTACAATTCGAGGACAACATCCTATAGACAGATGAGACCAACATCAACGTGTACCAGAGTAATGGGAAGAGAATAGTATGGAGGATGAAAGGAACTGTTTATGATCCTAAGCAGTGAAACATGGTGGTGGTAGTGTCATGGCGTGGGCATGTATGGCTGCCAATGAAACCGGTTTTCTTGTATTTATTGATGATGTGAATGGCCAGGTCAATCCCCTAATCTGAATTCGATTGAGCATGCATTTCACTTGCTGAAACCAAAAAAAGCCCCAAGAACAAGCAGGAACTGAACACAGTTGGAGCAGAGGCCTGGCAGAGCATCACCAGGAATAAAACCCAGCGTCTGGTGATGTCTATGTGTTTCAGACTTCAGGCTGTAATTGACTGCAAAGGATTTGCAACCAAGTGTTAAATAGTGAACGTTTGATTTATGATTATTATTATGTCCCATTACTTTTGATCCCTTAACAAGTGGGAGGCACATATACAAACTGATTTGGATGTAAATACCCTTAAAATAAGCTGACAGTCTGCAGTTTAAGCACATCTTGCTTGTTTAATTTCAAATCCATTGTGTTGGTGTATAAAGTCTAAAATTTAAGAATTGTGTCGATATCCCAATATTTATGCACTTAACTACATGTGTCTGTGCTGGAATTTCTAGGAATTCAAAACAACTGTGGAATTCAAACTTGTGATTCTTTTTGAAGATCTGAGGAACATCAATGTGTAAAAATTATTATTAATATTTTGTTCAATTTATATTGAACAACAAAAAAGTCATATAGTTAAAAAAAGTCACATAGTTACATTTGCTACTGTAGGTACAATGTATCTGAATATTTCGTTGAAAAATCTCCAAAAATTTAATCAAATTTTTAAGGTTGCAGTTTCATTGTGTGTCCATTATTTAACTGCCTACTTTATTCTTGCTGTGTTCCAAATATGATCAGTCCACCTTCTAAAGGCACTTTGGAGTTAGATTTCATGATCGTCTTATTTGTAGGGTTGTTCTGAACTGAAGAGCTCAAAAGTGGCTACTTCAAAGTACATTTCATAATGAAGGATTGAAGAGTAGTAATATAAAGTATACTTTTGCTCCTGTGATTCTTAAATTTGTGATGAAAGTAAAAATTTGACAAATAAGTGTGATCTAAGGAACAGTTTGTCAGGTCCTCTCCTGCTCTGCATGGTAAACCCTTCAAATACTGTAGGGCATGTTGGTGAGATCCTCAAAATGGAATGCTAACCTAGGTAGCAAAGAATTCTGGCCCAAATTTGGCATAAAGTTGGCACAGCAGGCATTCATCTGGCAATGCTATACAGCATGTGGACCAAACATGGCCTGTGTTTGGCAGAGCTGGCACCATCTTTAAGGTGGCACACAAGACTTGGGCCAGATGTAAAATGTAGTATTTGGGCCAGATGTTACAAATTGAGATGTAGGCCACGTAAGTTTGTCCTGTCTAGTAGTAAAGAAATTAAATTCTACAAATTAGGTTGCTTTGAGAAAAAGTCTGCCTGGTTTATCAATTTCATTGCAATTGTGACGCACATACCAATCTGGTCTAGTTCAGGCCCAGTTATGTGTTATTAACGTGGCTGAGACTTGGTTGAGATATGGTCCATGTTTGGCCTTTGTCTGGAAGCCAAACTTGGTCCAGTCATGAACCGTAATTCAATGCGGCATGTGAGCCAGGCAAAACCTGATTGTGTGGGCTAGAGCGGGGCCAGAGCAATTTTGCTATGTGGGAACTAACCCAGTGGAGTCCTGGATGGAGTTCTGTGTGGATGGGGTTTTCATGGTCCAGCTGGGTAAAGTAGTTAATAAATGCCTATTTATTGGCAAACAATTTATAGATTGGGCAAGACCTTCAAATTGTTGTCAAAATCACTAAACTTGCCTAAAATCATAAAAATTTTCTGTATAAGAATCCACATGTGGTCTAGGAAACCAAATTGCCATTATTAAAAATGCTTTCTTGTCTTGTTCTTCAGGACTCTGTGAAGGTGAGACTTTGGTCTGACTCCACCCCGTCCTTCGACACACAGCAGAACTCTGCTCAAGCACTTGCCGTGACATCACTACTTGTCTGGATTTGTTTGTTTCTTAGCCTCTTGCTCAGCTGTGATCAGTAAACAGACTAAAGACTTTTGGGACATCTCTTCTGACAGGACCATGGTTGTGGACCAAATGGAACATATTCAGCTCCAGAGCTGGAGAAACTGGCCATACTGGCCTCATTTTTTCTGACATTGAAGTCATCGTGTTATCTCTGTTTCTGTGGAGCCACCAGTAAAACCTACAGAATCTGAATTCGCAAGGCACTTTTGTAGAAATGAATGTGGTTAGTCAAACACAAAGGCCAGTGGAAAATGTACCTGTACATATGTAAATAATGTCGCCACAGAGTCAATATGAAACTGTGCTGTTTATTCAGAATTTCATTGTAAAATCATATTTTTTCGAATCGAATTCAAAAGACTAAATCTAACAAGTTTCTAAAGCCCAAATTACCTTCTAGCACTCCAAAATCAATTCCTGATGAAATGTGGAGAGGAGTGAAATGAAGCTTTTTCTTCTTTCTTTTATAGTTCCTCATGCATCAGTTCAACCATTTGGAGAAACCCTTGAGGAAAACGGATTTAATATCATTCTGTTCAACTTGACTGAAAAGAAGACATAGGCTACTTCTGATCAATCATGAAATGGTAAAGCCTTTGGGTGGGAGTAAACAATACTCTTCCCGAGGCCCTCAAAATATAGACTGTGCTATTGGGACATAAGCTACTTCAACTAACCAATCTTCAGATGCTGATTTGAGACTCATTCATCTTAGTTCTGGCATCTCCACAGCTTTGTTTCCTGCCCAGTGCTGTGTCTTTATGTATATTATGGTATGTTTATGAGGAGTCCCGGTGGCTGTGATTTTGAATATGAGGGACTGCGGCCGGAGAGGCATTTAAGGGGTCCTGCTCAAGGTCTCTTGATGTTTTTAAGGTAGGCTGGGAATCTCATTATGGAACATTCTTTGGTTCATCATATGGCACTAATAAAAGATGCTGGTTCATTTAAAGCCTAATGCTGTTCCTTTGAGACTGTGAATCTTTGAACAAACTGGCATTAAAATGTGGAAAAGTTAGTCAGTTGAAACTCCACGTGGAATGTGTCTTTGTCAGAAGCACGCTTGGGGCCAAATGTGTGGAAAAACGGTTATTCATAAGTAGAAGTGAAGCAGTAGAGATTTCTTATCTGACATAGAGATAGTTTATGGACAGTTAAATCAAGTGAACTGTGGCAGGGGGAATATTTGGATCTCAAGAAGGGAAGAACATTTCGTCAAATCTTGAGTGTGGTAAATCCATTAATTCCACAAAGATATATTTTGTTGAATGCTTTTAATTCTTCAGCAAGAACTACAAAAAAGTAAGTAAAAGTGATGTTATTGCCTATCTCAGATGTGATTTTTGAGGGAGCAACATTTGGACACTGGACCCTGAGCTGCTCATATGTAAATAAATGAAACAAAAGATTGCATTTATTTCTAATGTGCAATACATTACTAACATATATAAAGCATTTCAAGCATCTTCACAATTCTTACCTACAGTTTAATGCAAACATTTGGGCACCTCTCTGTGGCTGCATAATTATGTGCTCTTTCTTTATAAGAGAAGAAGACAGTGAAATGCCATTTTCAGCCGGTTTCTAGAGCAGGCTAGATAATGTCATGTTTTTCAAACAGAAATACACAGTGTAGCAGTATTGAGATGTGTGAAATTAAATTGAAACTGAAAAATAGGCTTAGCAAAAGTTTGGGCACCTTCTCTTTTGTGTGGATTTTAAAACCTGTAGTCACTTAATGCTGATTGATGACAACACAAAATTGATTTGACTGACTCAGTAAACCTTAACAATCCCAACACTGGTGCAACCATGAAAAAGCTCATTTGATATTGCTAGTTGTGCTTCTCTTTATTTTGCACCAGAAATTAGCAACATGGCAACCTCAAAAGAACTTTCTCAGACCTAAAACTAGGATAATTCACCAACATGAATTAGGAGAAGGATGCAAAAATATATCACAAAGGGTTAAAGTATCTATCTTTGCAGTCAGAAATATAGTAAGAAAATGGAAGGCCACAGGAACAATTCTTAAAAAGAAAAGATGTGCTAGACCAAGAAAAGTATCTGAAAGGCAAAGAATGGTTAGGATGGTCAAAGGCAAACAACAGACCACCCTCAAAGAGCTCCAGGAACATCTTGTTGCTGATAATGTCATTGCACATGGTTCCACATTCCAGCACATTCTTCACAAAGAACAGCTTAATGTAAGGTGATGCAGAAGAAGCCTTTTCTGGATTCTGCCAACAAAAAGAGTCATTTTAAGATATACAAAGGCTCATTTGGACAAGCCTGAATCATTTTGTAAAAATATACTGTGGACAAATGCCATAACTATATCAGCAAAAGAAAGCAGCTTTCCAAGAGAAGAACCTGCTCCCTACTGTAAAATGTGGTGGAGGGTCCATCATGCTGTGGCAGGCACAGGCACTGGAAACCTTGTCAGTGTTGAAGGTCCCATGGATTCCACCAAGTATCAGCTGAATCTGAAGATCAATGTTCAGAAAATCTGTTAACCCCTTCAGACCCTGCGTCCATTAAAATGGACATCAAAGGACATCCCATTTTTCTGAAATTTGGAACATCTGAAGGGGTTAAGAGGCAGGTTTGGAAGTTTCAGCAGGACACAGTTACAGATCTATTAAGGAATTCAAGCTCAGACATAATATGATGTTCTTAAATGGCACATCCCTGTCCCCAGACTTAAACCTCAATGAAAATCTATGAATTGGTTTGAAAAGGGAAGTTCTCGCTTGGCACCCATAAAATCTGACTGAACTGGAGAACTTTTGCAATTAAGAATGGGCCAAAATTTTTTCAGCAAAAATTTAGGAAAGTATTCTTGGCTATAAGAAGCTTCTACAGGCTGTTATTTCAGCAAAAGGTGATATTATTCTGTTGGGGTGCCCAGATTTTTTTGCACTTATCTGTTTTTGTCAAGACTTGCATTGCATCTGCTGATTAAATAATTGTTGTCATAAGTAAAATGTTGTTTTTCCCTAGGGTATAAAATATATCCATATGAAAATTATTAGGGGTGGCCAAACTTTTGCATAAATCTGATGACAAATGATGTGACATTTGACCAAATAATACAGAATAATAATCATGTATAACATAAATAAAAGAATATGTTGGAAAGATAAAAGAAAATGAATCATAATACTTCTTATTTATTACCTGCTATCCATTAGTTGATATTATAAAGCTTTTAGGATCGTCCTATGCACAGCATTTCTCTTCAACTAATGTCAACTCATGTCTCATTGGTTTTGATCTATATATACGGGGAATGATAAACTGAGTGATGTTCTGAACCAAATTCAAAGTGAAATAACTCAGAAACTCAGTCAGCCGCTTTCATCATGGTCTGTTACCCAATTACGCAGGATATCAACATCCACAGACCCACATGGAAAAACACTGCAGTTGTCTTGGCTCTGAGCCCAATTATAATGCAGCTTTTCCATACCAATCCATTTAAACACATTTCATTGATTTGATCCCAGACACAGGTATGGATTTCTTAAATAAAACTGGCCTATATTTAAGCAGAAATCATGGGTTGTGCTTTTAATTTCCTTTTGTCTAGTTCATGTGTTAGCTCATTAGAAATTAGCCTTCGTTTATTCACTTTTTCGTTTCTTTTCTATGGCCTACACTGCTAAAGGAAACAATTGTATACATTAGGAGAAGCAACTACAAAATTAAAATGTGATCTTTATGTGATCTACACCCTACGGTTGTGGTAGCTTTTATTTCAACCAAGCTTTGTTCATTTGCTTTAGCTGACATTTGAAAACCGGCTGCAACAAGCACATTGCATCACATTTTGGACTGGATGCAAAATATTTACTAAGCCCATATAATCATGGCGCTGGGGGAAAATCAATTAAATCTATTTGCTGAGGCGTGTTAAAAAGAGTTCACTTTAAAAAAAAAAATGAGCCAGAGGCCCAGTCCTGAAAGGGCAGTGCTATAATACACTCGAGCACCTCCAGCCCTCATCCTTCCATTTTCAATCCCAGACCGTTCATTGATCCACCTGAGAGTAGACCAAAATCATCACGCAATCCATCCCAATATGCCAGCGACATCTCCATCACAGGTAATTGTTGGGTGCATTTATATGGCTATATGTTGAAATGAAGAATTCAAGCATGTTGCAGATAGTGATCTGGTGAGAGATCTAGGACGCAATTTTTTATTCTGAATAAACATGGTGTCAGTGTGAGATTATGTGTGTGGCTTCTGTGAAGAACTGCAAAGGGCCTGGTGTCATTTCACAGCTTTTCAAGCGAGCTTATGGAACTGAAAGTGTTTTGAAATGTAAATGTACAATGGAAATGATAATTAGAAATTATATTGTAAATACTTTAAGTATGGCGAGGCAGTGGTGCTGTAGGTAGTGCTGTCGCCTCACAGCAAGAAGGTCGCTGGGTCGCTGGTGCGAACCTCGGCTCAGTTGGCGTTTCTGTGTGGAGTTTTGCATGTTCTCCCTGCCTTCGCGTGGGTTTCCTCCGAGTGCTCCGGTTTCCCCCACAGTCCAAAGACATGCGGTACAGGTGAATTGGGTTGGCTAAATTGTCTGTAGTGTTTGAGTGTGTGTGTGAATGTGTGTGTGGATGTTTCCCAGAGATGGGTTGCGGCTGGAAGGGCATCCGCTGCGTAAAAACTTTCTGGATAAGTTGGCGATTCATTCCGCTGTGGCGACCCCGAATTAATAAAGGGACTAAGCCAACAAGAAAATGAATGAATGAATGAATGAATGAATGAATGAATGAATACTTTAAGAATTTAAAATTTTATTTCTTTTTGTAAATATTTTTTTTCAGAAATAACTTAGAAATAATAATTTAAATAATAAAAAAATAAGTAAAAATCTTAAAATTTTGAGGAAATGCCTCTGTCATGCTGAAAAAAGGCACTTATTAAAACTATATTTTGTAGCAAAGACACTGTAATTAAGATAGCAGAACAGCAATAATTGTAACATTGGGAAAAATAAAGTGAAGATTTTTCAGGGTTACATTAGTCAAAGCAGTTTGAGAAGTGTACCGATCCTTGCAAACAACACTGTTAAAAAGTATCTGTAAATTACCAGTTTCTGTAATTTGTGATTCCAAACATTTTCTGTTAATTTATTTACTTAGCTATTTATTACTTTGTGAATTGCATTATAGGATGTTGATCTCTGCTTTGTTGACTTTTGATGTTGAAAATTCTACTCAAATACAGTTTATTAAAGTGACTTTTTTTTACATTTTAGTTATTTTAAATAATATAGTGTGTAAGAAATAATATATACATAATGTATACAGTAGAGAAATAAGTCAAATAACAGAAAATGTACTGGCAGTTTAGTTTACAGTTTACAATATTTTACAATATATCACTTTAAATTATTAAAATGCTAATAGATGTCAAATTGTTCAACTTTTCAACATTAAAAGTAGTTGGAAGAAAGATCAAAGTCCCATAATGCAATTCAAAAGAATTAATAAATGAGAAAAAGTTTTCATGTTCTCCCTGCGTTCGAGTGGGTTTCCTCCGGGTGCTCCTGTTTCCCCCACAGTCCAAAGACATGTGGTACAAGTGAATTGGGTATAGGCTAAATTGTGTGAGTGAGTGTATGTATGTATATATACATATATATATATATATATATATATATATATATATATATATATATATATATATATATATATATATATATATATATATATATATATATATATATAATGTGTGAGTCTGACAAGAAGAGAGAATAATGTCAGATTTACTGTTTGGCCATAGGTGGTGCATTAGAAACACCTTGTGTAAGTGATTACATTTTTAGTGATTTTTTTACATGCTCTTTTTAATTAAGGGTGCTTTCACACCTGTGAATCGATTCAGTCTTTCCAAAACAGAGATTACAAATGTTACATTGTTGCTCTTTGCTCTTGGAGCGGTTCG